AATTTTGTAAGAAATTCTATGATGAATAAAAATCACAAGTTTTTTTTATAAAATCTCGTTTACTTCTTTTACAGACTAAGTCTTAACAGAACAGACATGTCACTCCTCACTTCGTTGCTGATGGCCACAGTAATGAACTCTAACACTTAATTCAGATCTGACTACCACACCCTCAGTAGGATTGCAAAGCGCGCTATACAAATGATTGTCCATTGTCGGAGCGGATGCGTTCATGGGAACAAGTCTGTAAACCGAGATGTTCATCAATAAACCCAACAAACAAATAGTTGGTCTTGTTAAAAATGATCTTTTTGGAGTGGGCGTATCAATGAAGACTCGCATGTAAACCGAACCGATCATTCAAAACCCAACAAACGGATCGTTGGTCTCGTTAAAACTGTTTTTTTCGGAGCGGGCGTGTCAATGAAGATTCGCCCGTAAACCGAACAGATCATTTAAAACCCAGCCAGCAGACCATTGGTTTTACTGGCAACGCAAGGCCCATGAACGGGCGTGTCAATAGCGACTCGACCGCACGTCAAACAAGTCTTAAAAATCCTAAGACATACTCATTTTCAGGAGATATTTACCACCCGAACGCTAACTAGGTTACTTGAATGAGACAACTTTTGGAGTGGATATGGCAACATCGTCTTCCCATAAACCAGAACGATCGTTAGGAAGCTCGACAAGTATGTCGTTAACTTCTTTCTTACGAGTCCAACGGGTTTGGCAGCAAACCACAATGATCACTACAAGTCCAACAAGCATGTCGTTAACTTCGTTCTTAAAAATACAACGAGCAATACTTAGTGGTTGCAATACTTAGTATTTGTTCACGAAAGAAAGCACTGTTAACTGAACAAGACAAGAATACCAAAAGCCGAAATTATAATAGCATCCCGCATCAAAGCAGGGCAAAAAATATAAGTCTGAAACAAAAACTAAAACCATCCAAGTGTCAGAACCAAATCCAGAATCTAAGCAAAATGAGTAGCAACACACTGAAAATCTGAAAAATAACAAAAGCAAAAGTAAAGCTAAGCGGTTGCCACGACCTCTGTCCCGTCCAGCACTGCAGCCTCATTTATCGCATCCTCCGCGGGCACCTGCTCTGCAGCCTCGTCCGTTACCGCCTCCACGGGCACCTGCTCAGATATCTCGGCATCCACGCTGGCGGAAGGAACATACTCGCCACCCTCAGATGCATCTCCTGAAACTGGGATAACCACATCGGTAACCCGCTCCACAAGCACGGTAATAGGCTCAACAAGGGCAAGAGCGAGTGCACACTGCGCAGGAGCCGACGACTCCATAGTAGTTGGACCCGATGCAACCCTCTTAGCACTAAGACCGGATAAACCCGGAGTCTCGCTGTTGGACCCTGAGAAGTTGCGCAGACCTAGCGACGCTGCAGCTAACTCGACATGGTCACCGTCATCCAACCCAACCGGGAGGGCGTGAAGAATCATCCTAAGGTTCGCCACCTCGTCTGCAAGCGTCTGATGGGCTCCTTCCGGCTCAGTCACCGTCGCGATAAGATCTTCCTCCTCAGTCTCAAGATCCGGAGGAGTCTCGCTCTGAACCTGTTGTCGAGCTGTAGGTTGCCCTCGGCCTGAGCAAGGTCGAAACTCCTTTTCCTAGCCCGCTCAACGACATCGAACTGCCTCTCACTACAAGTAAAGGTCTCCTGGAACTCGGTTGTCATCTCGCATCTCGCCTTGTGAACGGCATGCTGCACAATCGCCTCTTGCTTTTCCAATGCCCTTAGCTTGGCAAAACAGTCTTCTAGCCTGTGGAAGCGACGAGTGTTGGAGGCAGTCAAATCCTCGTTGTCTTTCTGCATCATACCATGTTAATCGCGGAGTTGCTTCACCTCGGACTCCAGGTCGGCAGATCACTTCGTCGCCACGCTCGCATCACCTTTGTACTCCTTGGCATCTCGCCGCGCGTCCTCGAGCTGGCGCCTATTTGCCTTTGACTCTGCCTCGTAATCCAAAGTCATCTTGTTGAGGTGGGAGATGAACTACATACGACAAAGGAATGGAAGGTTAAAAGTCCATAAGGAAAATGAAAAGACTTGTTCTAAAAATTGAGTAGGAGGAAGGGTGCGACATACCTGGACTCCATGATGAGCCATCTCGGCGTAGCTCCCTTCGCCCTGGAGGGTATCGGGAGAAATAAAGCCAGTACCAGGAAGAGTGATTTTGGAAAGCATGGATGCAGCAGTCCAGTCAGTGTTAGTAGCAACCATTCCACGATCACTAGAGGAATGTCTCGGCTGCTTCGGATCCCTCCCATCGAAACGAGGCTCTATTCTGCTATCCGTTCCACGCTTACGGTTCCCATCTCTGTGACTTGTTTCTTCATGACGAATCACTGAGGAGGTGGACGGGCGAAGCGCCAGAGTCGACCCATATCGGTCCAGGGCTGCGTGAACCGAGCCTAAAAGATGAGAAGACTGGTCAGCGGTAGTGTCATCCGGAACCGGTATGGCTAACTCGATGTGTGTGCCAGCCGCGGTGTCTGGATCAATCTCGGTGTGCGTATCCACCTCTGTAAACTGCTCCGCCTCGGTATGCCGCTCCGCCTCGGCAGCCTTCTTCTTGGCTAAGGCTCTCTTATCACGGAGGGTAGGTCTGGTAGACATGAATGCACTAGAATCGGTGTGATTCGAAGATGGAGACAAACCTGGAAGAGTGGAACCAGCGCGTCGAGCTCTAGCTCTCTCAACTCTACGAAGGGAGAAGTGCTTCCTCCAATGACACCTCCNAGCAACGAAGGNTTNGTGAAGTCTNNTNGTGTCCTTCNGGAACTTCANGAAGCGCCTCGGNGCTGCAAAACATACAAAAAATACAAAGGCATTAGAAATCACCACCAAGCGGAAGCTATGAGTAACACAAGTCTAAAAAGCTATGAGAACCGCTACCGCGAGTTCCCCACTCAGTCAAGATTCTATCAAGCCAGTTAGGACCAACGGAAGCCTCGTTTATCTTCACGAAGAAGAACTTCTCAAACCAAAAGTTATCTTTACTAGGGAAACCTTTGATGATCCGATAAAAGGTTCATCAAGTGGAGTGCAGTAATATCGCGGTCGCACTCATAGTTGAGCGCCAAGATTCTAATCAGATGGCAGAGTCCGCGAGGCGTGATCTGGGCCAAGGCGATATGGTAATCCCACACATACTCGAGCAAAACCTCCGGAAGAGGAAACCAAAGGAAGCACAAGTAGAAATAAGCCTCGTACACGGTAAAGTAACCATCCGGGGGAGCGTCAGCCCGCTCCAAAGAGGTAGGAAGAGCAAACTTGACATTTCTGGAAATCTTAAACCGGGCTCGAAGGTCTCGCAGGGATTGCTGAGATGAAAGGGTAGAACCTGGCGGGTCAGGTTTGACTCGTGGCTTCCTCCTCTTCTTAGGTGTCTGCACAATTGGAGCGTCATCTTCGGTCTCCACCTCGTCTCCATTCTCTGACTGAATAGTCCTAGCATCGTCACATGCTTCCTCAACGAAGGAGCGTGATCTCAAAACACGTGCACGCGAGGGATGAGCGCATGCAAGGTCAAATGAGTCTTCTCACTTATGCTTTGTGGTATTGACGGAAAGAAATCTAGGATTGTGGTACATTGGGAAAGTTAATTTTCCCAATAAACTTTGAATTTAAACCAATTTTAGTTAGTGCTATACTAAATATGAATATACTTTTCTATTATTCTATATATAGTATTATTACATCTGTTTCATGAAGTTTTCAGGATTTTTTTTCAGTTTAAATGATGTTTTAAAGTTTTCATGTAAAATTAATTATTATTTTTAATGTTTTCAAATATTTGAATTCTGCAGATTATTTTTTAATACAAGTTAAAAAAAATGTCTTTAATTTGTATGCAAAAACCTTAAACTTCACATAAAAATAAATAGAATGAATATTTAAAATAAAAAAGAATGAATATTTTCTAATGTGTGAAATATGTCAAAACGCCAAAATAAATAAATTAATAATACAAATTTTTTAAATTTGTATGAATGCCCATTGTCCTGACACATCTAAATAGTATTAGAGATGATGAAAGATTAGATGGGAAGAATTATATTTACTCTCATGAATCATAACATAGGAATTACATGTGTTTATATAGAGATGAGATTTCCTAAACTATG